GAATGAACTCAAGCTCACAGTTGATCGAAATGGATCCCGGACATGTCAGTGAGGAGCAAAATCTGGGAGCACATTCCTAGCGTCAGGATCATCATATCCGTCATGTACTATGGGGCCTAGTGGGGATGCTAGACAGGGAGCTTTCGAAACCTTAGGTCCTAATGGTTGGGCTTCCCTCTACCTCTACTCATCCCCCTACCTTCCCTCTGGGTTGGTGAGTGGGGTTCTCGTGACTCATCAGAACTCTACTTCCCTGAGGCTATGAAACAGGAACAGCAGATAGGAACAGGATCAATATATTCATCAGTGCGAATAAAAACTTTTATAGACATGGTGCCACTTAAAATTATAAATATAAGAGCCAACTAGTAAGATATAAGTATGAATACTTGGCTATTATGTATGTAACAAACAACCAAACATGTGCTCAAGGCTCATTTTACTTCGCCTAGGAATCAGAGATTTTTATGCCTAAAATACCATAAATTTTCGTCAACAATATGAATAAATACCATTTATATTTGTCAATTTCAGTATGAAACGATTATTTCAACACAAAAAAGCGATATGAGGACATACTTGGTCGTACTAGTGAAGGAAAATTGCTCTAAAAGATTTGTTTTTCTGCCTAAGCCAATCAAAATCCGTATCTAGGGTAAACAAACACTCCGGAAGTGATTCCTGCAGTTTTTTATTATTATTTAAGGTTAAAAAAGTTAGTCACATTTGTTATCAATTACACAACGCCCAAGGACTTACTATAAAACAACGCGAGTGAAACTAATATATATATATATATATATATATATATATATATATATATATATATATATATATATATATATATATATATATATATGAAAATGCTCTAGAGTGTCTAGTAATTCGAAGGTCGCGGGTTCGAGACCCAGCCGCGGCAGACAACATCTTCCTGCTTGCGCTGGGTATGGAAATTATATAATACACACTCTAGAACATTTTCATCTTAACATATTACAGAGTGTACAATTACACAACTAACATATATATATATGTAGAACTCACAAAATTTTCGAGCTGTTTGACCTAAAAATCACCGCCGAATCCAATTTACAATTTACGCATAGTAATTTTTTTCGGAATGATGTAATCTTCGATCTTAACAATGGAAAATATGCCCTATAAGAAGCCCAATGACGATCCGCTATACACAAATAGGTACTCTAACCATCCACTAGGCATTATAAGGCAGCTACCTACATCAAAGCATTGCACTGCTTTCATCAGATGAGCAAACATTTAAGGAATCTGCACCTGCATACCAAAACGCACTTATCTTCTCGCGGAAATTTCCAAATTTTTCTTACCACATCGGAAATTATCGGGAATTTCTCAACCCCCCTCGGCAATTTTCTTGACCCCCTCAGAAATTATCGGCAATTTTCTTGAACCCTCGGAAATTTTCAGCGATTTTTTTGACCCCTCGGAAATTCTCGTCAACAGGTAGTAGCCCTTCAGAAATTATCGGGAATTTCTCGACCCCCTCAGAAATTATCGGCAATTTTCTTGACCCCCCCCTCGGAAATTTTCAGCGATTTTCTTGACCCCTCGGAAATTCTCGTCAACAGGTAGTAGCCCTTCAGAAATTATCGGGAATTTCTCGACCCCCTCAGAAATTATCGGCAATTTTCTTGACCCCCTCGGAAATTTTCAGCGATTTTTTTGACCCCTCGGAATTTCTCGTCAACAGGTAGTACTCCTTCAGAAATTTCAGGTATTACCCCTTTAATTTAAAAAAAAAATTTGACCCATTCAGAAATTTTCTTTTTCCAACACCCCTCGGAAATTTCAACTTCAGACCCCCCTCAGAAATTCAGAAAATTTCAGACCCTTCGGAAAATCTCGTCAACAGGGGGGTGTGGATATTAAATGGAATGGCCCACTAGACGAAAGACTTTACAGTATGTTAAAGACAAATCTTTAAATATATATATATATATATATATAGTTACTATTCTTACTTAAAATGTTTTTTGTCTCTACTCCGAGTTTCACGCATCGCTGCGATCATCAGGAGACATTGTTCTCAATATTGAGAATATATTGAGAACAATGTCTCCTGATGATCGCAGCGATGCGTGAAACTCGGAGTAGAGACAAAAAACATTTTAAGTAAGAATAGTAACTACATTCGCTCTACATAATTTTATGTATTGAGCACTCTCTTCACTATACGTTACAAAACTTGTGATATATATATATATATATATATATATATATATATATATATATATATATATATATATATATATATATATATATATAACAATTCAAGTTTTCTTGATATAATATAGAGTGCTCAATACTTTATTGTAGAGCTAAATTTATTTAATTATTTATGAAATAAAGTACAAAACAAACGTTGTTACTCAGAGTTTCATGCCTGAGTTTACAGACAATCTTCGGACAACTAAACTAAACTAAACAAAACAGAACTTTAACAGAACGTTAACAGAACTTTAGTTGTCCGAAGATTGTCTGTAAACTCAGGCATGAAACTCTGAGTAACAACGTTTGTTTTGTACTTTATTTCATAAATAATTAAATATATATATATATATATATATATATATATATATATATATATATATATATATATATATATATCACATAAACCCTGCAATATAAACAAAGGGCGCACTATAGTGAATTAATGAACGAAGAAGCTGACACCAAGCACGCCGCGCAACTACATCCTGGCAAAGCTATTATGGTACGTCAATTTCCATCTAATGTTTGGCACCTTGTTTCTTGCTCAAGATTTCCACTTTAGCAGATACTCACGGACAATGCACCTAAAATCGCAAAATGCCGGATTTTGCCAGAAACGAACTTTAAGGTACACTCTATACTGTGAAGGTACACGTTTTCGCGTAATGAGTATTATGGCCATCTTTTTTGTCGGAAGGGTTATGTTATAGTCCATTTCTGTAGTTTACCGAATTGCAGAGTAGGCTAACTCCCGTATTCTAAAAGCTCACTCACACTCACACTCAATGAGTGGATGTTCAATCTGAGCTTCTCTTGAGTGTCAATGCTGTTTTTGAATAGCTGGAGGGTTAGTGTCGTACCTTACTGTGTGCCTACTCACCCTCCCGCTATTCAAAAACAGCATTGACACTCAAGAAAAGCTCAGATTGAACATTCACTCATTGAGTGTGAGTGTCATTGAGCTTTTAGAATACGGGCGTAAGTGTGTGGTTGAAAAATTTCGAAACATTTGCACCTCTCCAATCGGTCAACGAGGCTCAACGAGTGGTGTTTGGAGAAAAGTTTAAATATATTATTAAGAAGGATCAGAAAATCATCAGGCTAAGTCTGATGTCACATAAGAATTATCACATAAGAAGATCCACCTATATTGTCTTCATCCTCAGACATGCAGACCATCTCCTAACGAGTTTAAAGAGCCCGAAAGACTGCAGTGGGTGTGATAAAGATTGAAATGTGGTTTGAAGTGACATTTGCCGGCTTGGTTGTATGGAAATTAAGACGTCTTCAAAACCACGAAAAAAGTTAACGCTTCCTGCTCCGACGGTGATGAGGTATACACCACACTTGATGGGGGTGAAGATGAGAGATCTTAAAATATTTGCGGTTTTTAAAAAATAGTAATAGATGATTCCAGCCCGGCCCGTTTCTTATGTGAATCAAATGTCGAAAATATATGACTGAAAACAATATACGAGCTGGCTAGTCTCGCCACTCGCTGACTCGCCTGTAACCCGGCCCATATGAACAGGCCGGGCTAGCTGACCCTTACTAATTATTCTTACGTTACACTTCATCTTTTCGCCATAAAAAAGACTCAAACAAAACGGAACTTTCGAAACATATTTGGAAATTAAAAGAAAACAACCTTCGCCTTCGCATTAATTGTTTCGTCTGAGCATTGTTTCGCCCACATGCATTCCGCGCATTATTTCGATAGCGTAAAAGCAACCTACATTTTCGAAAACGAAAAACTATATCTAGTAATTCGAAGGTCGCGGGTTCGAGACCCAGCCGCGGCAGACAACATCTTTCTGCTTGCGCTGGGTATGGAAATTATATAATACACACTCTAGAACATTTTCATCTTAATATATATATATATATATATATATATATATATATATATATATATATATATATATATATATATATATATATATATATATATATATATATATATATATATATATATATATATATATATAACAAGAAAATCTTCCACGAATCGAAGTAAAATATAAAACTGTAATTAATACATTAAATTTGCGGTTGTATGCCACGACCTTCGTCAGAAATAAGAGCTATATAATACATGAATTAAGTGCCTAAATATATACTAAAAAGTGTATATGTAATGAGAAATACACTAATAGGAAAAATACTATTGTTGTACAAAATCATGGTTATTATTCAAACCCCTCAGTCAAGTTGGTAATCAAAGTGCCTATCCAAAAATTCTCCCTTTGTCTAATATTCTCATGGTGTTGATCAATCGACATAAATTTAAGTGCTGAATGATCACCACCATGAGAATCAATAAAGTGATTAGCTACACCACACGTTCTTTTCTTGTGCTTGTAATTTGCCAATCTACAGGGTGTATAAAAAAAAAGGAGACCTATACAAATCAAACATATTGTTAAAATTTGAATGCCTTTTCAATTGCACATATGCTAAACCGTGGTGTGTGAAGTATTGATGAGTGCATATATTAGAAAAAGGAGACCTTTAGAAATCAACCATTGTTATAATTTGAATCCTGGAGCACTTTGCTAAGCCCACGAGTGCGTAACATGCGATCTACGTACAGTATGCATGGCAGATTGTTCCCAAGAGCAGACAATCTTTTGTTTAAACGTTATTTCAATTTCTAAAGGTCTCCTTTTTCTAATATATGCACCCCATAAATATTTCACGCACTACGGTTCAGCATATGTGCAATTGAAAAGGCATTCAAATTTTAACAATATGGTTGATTTCTAAAGGTCTCCTTTTTTATACACCCTGTAGATTTAAAATTAGCTGTGGAGCCGACCCCTTGCAAATCACAAGCCACACAATGGGCAAGATAAACAATATTCTGCGAAGAACACGTACGAGACTTATATCATACGACCTACCAGTGGCGGTGGAACGAAAAGACCCACTGGATCTGGGAATGAGAAAGTTTTTACAACAATCTAACCTCTTGGCCGTGCATACAAAGCAACCTTCTCCCGTAAGCTCCCTAGTTCTAAAAGGGTTCGAAGGAGCTAGCAACTCGTTTAAATTGCTTGATCTTTTATACGAAACTCGATTTATAGCACCTTCCGGCAGAATTTGTCTAACTCGCTCATCGTTATCAATAATACTTCTTTGTCTACGAATTATCTTACCAATATCAGGCGCCCGAGGATTGAACTTGCTAATAAAAGCGCAAGGTCTACACTCGTTCCCACGTTTACTCCTACGTGCTCAGTATCATGCCCACAATCCGTCATGCAGATATTTACAATATTCCTTACTCTTTTGTTTAAAATCCTCATCATCCGAACATATTCTACTCAATCTCAAAGCAACACCCTTCGCAATCCCAAGTATTTGTGAGATGGGATGGGAAGACTTTCGATTGAGATATAAATGGGCATCGGTGGGTTTACTATAGACTGATGTAACTATATAGCTTATTGTCAACTATGGTGATCAAAAGGTCGAAAAAAACTTCGTCCTCCGATCTCCATAGTAAACTGATGGCGGGCGTCAAATGTATTTAGGTCTTGAAAAAATGCTTGAAGTCGTTCAACCGTACCTCGCCATAATACAATGGTGTCATCCCGAAACCGACATTTAAGATCAGCTATATATATAGAATAAATAGATTGCGACCTTAGAACTTGATTATCAATTTCGTCCGCTACGATATCAGCATATATAGAGACGTCAGATCATAACATCAGAGACCTACAGTGTAGGGTACAAAGTAGAAATGTCTAAAGCCAGCGTTCGATCCATACTACCATAGATATCTTATATACACGAGATAGTGCATCTAATTATTCTGCAATTTAAAAATTGAAGCCGCGTGATTGCAGACTCAGGATATTCTCATGAAATGAGAAGACTCGTATGTTTTCTATTTCTTAAAAAAGGAACTTAAACATTAAGTTAAACCTATTCCAAATACATTTTCAAACTATTCAAATGATGACAGTTATTGTTGTTTTTAAGCGTTTATTAGCGAGTGGGAAATCCCAACATGACCGCCATCTATTCAAATGGGGGTAATCGCTGGAATACTCTTGGCTTCAAGTGGCATGCAATTGACTGTCTTTACTCAAAGTAATTAATTTAGCTATGGAGTATACATGCTAGCCTACGTGTATCTATATTTTACAATTAATTCATGTGTGAAATATAATTCAGCATTAATTCATGGTTGTCGTATAGTATAACTATAAGACAATAAGGAGTAATGTATAAATTTAGCTTTTCTAACTGTAATTGCTAGTAAGTGCCAAGACGTGCGTGGTATGTATTTTTAAAGTTTAAACGGAGGGGATTTATATATATATATATATATATATATATATATATATATATATATATATATATATATATATATATATATATATACCGGGTGGCCCAAAAAAAAGTACTCCTGTTTGATTCGTAATAACATCTAAACAAGTATAGCTTTTAAAGAGAAATAACTTGCATCAAATAGAGGAAGGACTAACTTAGACTTTGATATATTACAGTTGTATTTCACTTAAAAATTCACGGAGATATTAATCTTTAAATTCGGGAGGATATTTCTGGATGTGTCTGAAATATGCAAAAATCGGCGTATCAAATATTAATCAAGATTTGCCCGACTGAAACATGCACTATTACCAGTAAATAAATGACACTTGACAAATTGTTTATTATGAAACAAAGTATTATTATATCTACAAAATACAAGCAAGATTCATTCGTCCGAAATTCGCGTGTGTTCCTAGCACGAATACGTTTCCTTATTTCATGAGACCACTGCATCGCGAAGGATCGTCATTGGATCGTTCGTAGTTCTGAATTAGGGCATGCTGTCACAACGGAATTGTGAAGCTCTTCTAACTTCTGCAACGTTCTGAAATCTTGTTAAGAACACCCAAACTCTTTTGCCGTTTCTTAATCTTGGCAAGTTCATGGAGTAAACTGAGAATTATATGAAACACAATCAAACCATACAACTCCATAAGACATAACAATTAAGCAACTCCCCAGAGACATGCAACATTTTTGGAACAAAACGTAACAAAATAGTAGCGTTGATACGGTGATGTGTATTTGCAAAAAGCAATATTATTTCCTTCAATAAAGAATATTCATCCTGCTCTAACCGAGAAATAATCTACTCAGTCTGTTTGAACCCATTAAAAACATAAAAAAATTAGGCTATTTAAGAATACGAAAAATTTAAGCGCCTGTCTTCCATGGTCAGTCTTTCATGTACATTTAAGTTTGCAAAGACCTAATATTAAATACTTGCATAATTTCGAACGTTCATATTTCAGGAAACAATGAGCTAAGACTTACATGTAAGATGTCTAAATCTACGCCATATCCCTTACAAACCTTAACGATAATTCGCTGAAATACAAGTTAGCCTAATATGTCATTAAGCAAACAAACGCTGGAGTTAATATTTGATATGCCGATTTTCGCTAATTTTAGACACATTCCAAAATATGCTCCCCATTTTTAACATTAATATATCCGTGAATTTTTAAGTTAAATACAACTGTAATATATCAAAATCTAAGTTAGTCCTTCCTCTATTTAATGCAAGTTATTTCTCTTTAAAAACTTTACTTGTTTAGAAGTTATTACGAATCAAACAGGAGTACTTTTTTTTGGGCCACCCGGTATATATATATATATATATACAAATATATATATATACAAATATATATATATATACAAATATATATATATATATATATATATATATATATATATATATATATATATATATATATATATATATATATATATATATATATATATATAGAGGGTGTATCAAAAAAAACTGAACAGATTTAAAATTGCTCTCAATTTCGCAAAACAGCTATTTGTATCCGGTTTTTTATATATATGGCCTCTTTGGGTACTTATAATGTAGAATAATGAGAAAAATTTCTCGAACTCAAATTTTGTGAACCAGGGGGGTGTGTCTTTTCCAACAAACTAAAAATGGCTCGCGCACAAAATTTAAAAGCTGCAATCATATTTGAGTTAACAGATGGAACATTTGTCGGGTTTTTAATTACTGTACAAAATTTCAGACAATTTGGTTTAGTTTAAGCCCCTTAACTATTCACGCAAAGTTACAATTTTCCCGAAAAATCAGCTATTTGCATGCTTAATTAATGCTTTGCCTAATTTGCATATGTCAGCAATATGCAAATTAGGTAAAGGCATTAATTAAGCATGCGAAAGGCTGACTTTTTAGAACAAAATGAATAGTTAAAGGGCTTAAATTAAACCAAATTGTCTGAAATTTTGTACAGTAATTAAAAACCCGACAAATTTTCAATCTATTAACTCAAAATATGATTACAGCTTTTAAATTTTGTGCGCAAGCCATTTTTAGTTTGTTGGGAAAGACACCCCCCCCCCTGGTTCACAGAATTTGAGTTCGGTAATTTTTTTTCATTATTTTACATTATAAGTACCCAAAGACGCTATATATATAAAAAACCAGATACAAATAGGTGTTTTGCGAAATTGAGAACAATTTCAAATCTGTTCAGTTTTTTTTTATACACCCTGTATATATATATATATATATATATATATATATATATATATATATATATATATATATATATATATATATATATATATATATATATATATATATATATATACAGGTAAATCAATTAAGGTTGTCTTCTCAAAATTGTAAAATCTAAAATATATGACCCAAGTGCGTCATGGGCGTACGGGGGATTGCATGGGATTCGATAGGATTATCGACTTCGGGTATCAGATCGCTCGTGGATGGTAAATAATATACGGCAATACTTTTCTCAGCTTTATTAATTTCACGGCAGTTTTTAACGACCTTGTTTACTCGAAACCGGTTTTTGTGACGACATTTGCCGAAAATTTCGCTTCTTTTATTGAGTAAATTGTCTTTGTTTATGTCTTTCAAAGAAAAATTTTGCATTTTGAAAGACATAAACAAAGACAATTTACTCAATAAAAGAAGCGAAATTTTCGGCAAATGTCGTCACAAAAACCGGTTTCGAGTAAACAAGGTCGTTAACAAAACCTAATGACCCAAGCATGCATTGTTTCACCTAAGCATTGTTTCGCCTACACGCATTCCGCACATTCTTTCGATAGCATAAAAGCAACCTACAATTTCGAAATTATTCACCACCTGATGATTCCTATACGGATGAAACAAACTGTTGTTGTTTTTTAAGGTCAAACGAAAATATATATATATATATATATATATATAAACAAATAACGTCTTCATTTCAATGGGCAAATTATCAAAATATTACAGCAAGATTATTATGGTCGAGTGTATTTAAAAAAGGTAGGCAATTGTTTGACTTAATTCAGCACGGCCGCAACTTTTTAAAAAAATTCTGTTAATATAGATTCGCTTTGGGTCGACTATTGAACGTAATTTAGGTAGTTGCATTCCAACAAACCTAAGTTTTATTTCTTAATATATAGTATACTCACTCTTCCGAGTGCAAAATGACAGAAGGATTTTAAAACTAGAAAATACATGCATGCAGAAACCCTCGCCTTGCTGACAAAACCATTGTATTTTCCGAACATGAAGTTCTAAAGTAGTTGTCATGGTAACACGATAATTTTTT